CGGCCGCAGCTCCCCGGGGCCGCAGCCCCCGTGCCCGGCGGCGCAGGCTTTGCTCTCAGCGACACGATGGCGGTGCACGTCCTCCCACAGACACCCCGGCTGCGGCACTCCACTTTTGGCTTTCAACTGCCTGCTTCAGATCCACCCTAAATCCAAGGACGGATCACACCCGTGCCTTGCCCCCACACTGCCAAATGAAAGCTGTAATTACATTTTAACTCACTGTATATGAATTAATTATTCGTATTTTTCTGCCATGCACAAGAAATTGCCCTAAGCCAAAAGCAAGAAAAAAAAAGTCTTAATGGCACACAAAGATGATTCTTCACTGAGGAGAGGATGATGCTGCAGATAAGAATATTGTCTTTAATTACTCCCTTGCATTATAGGCTGTCCCAAAGTACATCACTTTTCTTGATGAATGCCTGTCTAAAAATAAAAACAGAGATAAGATTCTGAACTTAGTGTTCTTCCATTTCTCTCTGCATGAAACTTCATCTCTGGAAAGGGAAGGAGTTGAAATCCAGCAATGTCCCATTCAGCCACACGGCCTCCTTATTTTGGGCTGCTGGCATCAGGAGGATCGAGGTGGGACAAGACCAGCCCTTGCATGACCACCCTCCTCACCCCACAGATGGCAGTGCACAAGGGAGGAGGTGGGAGGGAGCTGGCCCAAGAGATGCCATTTCATTTCAGGCGCTGGGAGCTGAAATGCATGGAATCACAGAATATCCTGAACTGGAAGGGACCCGTGAGGATCATCTAAGTCCAGCTCCTGGCCCTGCACAGGACTCCCCAGGCAGTGGCTTCAACCTGACTCTGCCCATTGGGGCTGCAAACGCTGTCCCTGATCCACAGTGGTGCAGGAGGGCACAGCTTGGGCAGATTTGGTCAATGCCAGGGTCTCTTTCTACCCCTGCAGTGCTGCCTCATGTCCACAGCAGCTTCCCCACTCCCACCTCACCAGCCCCGGCCTGACCCCCCTCACACTGCCTCTGGTGCTTAATAAAATTTCCATGACTGTTTCAGACCCACACTCCAGAGTCTCAGGGGATGTTTGTGCATGACATCACCCTCCCCCTCCTGTAAATCAGGCACTGGGCCATGTACAGCCATGACCCATTCATGACAGGGATAAAATCCAGATGTTCCAGTGCTACGTGCAGCTGGGTCATTTCCTTTTTTGGCTAAAAACGTGAGGCTCTGGAGGCTGACTGAAAGAGGAGCCTGGGGGCCCTTTGTGCAGAAACCTTTTGCGGTTAATCCCTGGAAACAGCAGTGCAGAAAGCCTGGCTTGTGCTGCTGCTGCTGGAGGACAGGCTCAGCTGGGAACCTCTGGGCTGGAGCTGCTCACTCGCCCTGCAGGGCCCAGCACAGCACCAGAGCCCAGCCCAGGTCACAGGGCAGCAACAGCAGCAAAAGTCGTGCTAGAACTCCATCAGCCACCAGAGCAGGAGCCTTTGCAGTCAGGAGTGTGCACACACCAGTGCCGTGGTCCTACAGAGGCACCCCATGGGCTGTGCCCATCCTGCACCAGAGCAGCACCCATGGGAGCCCAGCCATGGCTGGAGCCAGAGGAAGTCATGGCAGCTGCTGGGAAATGTGAAGGATCTGTGGAAAACAGTTTCATATGTCAGGGAATAAATGGCTCCCTGACTGATAAAGAGTAAAGAGTGTGCCTTCAGGGAAGGCTGCCAAGAGGGGACCACGGATATCCTGGCTGAAGGCTGCAGCAAGATGGAGTCCCCTTGGAATGTCCCCTTGGAATGTTGTGGCACAGCCAGGAGTGCATACTGCAGGGCAGGGAGGCTGCTCTGCACGGCAGGGTTGGTTTGGTGCTGCAGCGATCTGGTCCCACAGCCAGCCTGGAAACATGGAGCCTCCTGCTGGGGCCTGTCCTGCAGAACTGCCTGCCTGTACAGACAGCAAGCACGGACAGATGGACAACCCCAGCCCCAGAAACCCACTGCAGCCACCCAGTAGGAGGAGGGAGATGCTGTTGCTCTGCCACAGCCACAGGGCCAGCGTGGCTGATGCTGGGCTGTGGTTTGGGAAGGCAGGCACGAGCACTGTGGAGGTTGCCTGTCCCCAGAATGGGATTAGGGGTGAGGCAAGGCTGATCAGAGCCCAGCACCAACTCAGCACTCTGCCCTGTGCCTGCTGTTCAAGAGACTCAGAAGAGCAAGTGTCACGAAAACGGTTTATTGTATAAAGCTGTAGGGAATACAGAGGATGCTGAGGTTTAGGACAATTCCTTCTGGAGATGGCTCCAAGCTCCTCTCATAATAGCAAACACACAAATGCTGATTTGCTGTCGTCAAAGCTTCCAAACAAGGATCTGAACACAGAGTAGTAACACTTCAACATGCATTATGTTTTCTGTTCCTAAGTGAAGCCTGAGTGGGGGGCTAGCCCCTTCATCATGTAGTTGTGTACAAAATGATGGATATTCATGACAAATGAGTACAAGAGGGAAAAAGCCCACAAGAACAGGTTAACAGAAAAGCATTGTGGCTGACTAAGCAGGAAAGCAGGGTTGGCGAAAGTGCCTCAGTGAGACAGAAGCAGAAGGATGCAGAGACCAGGCAGGCATGAGCATCCCACTGAGACCGGCCTTAGCCCAGGGCCAGCTCAGCCATTGGGCAAGGATTGCTTAAGGCCTCATGTGAGTCTGGGATGGTTCAAGACACTCTGTTTTGCACTTAGGGCCAACTGGGACCTGGGCAATGCAAAGTCCCTTCCCCACAGATGCCATCTTTGCTTTACTTCTTGTTTGGGACACAGGGAAGGATGAGTGTGGCTGGAAGGAGCCACCACTCCCTGCATACACTGGGGACACAGGCAGCCCTGGAGGAGCAGCTAGTGGACATCCTGCTGCCCCCTCAGCTGCTCTCTGTGCTGGAGCCCTGTGCTACTGCAGACCCTCCCAGCAGCTACTAATCACAGGCAGAGTCTGTGGGCAGTACTCCCTTCCCTGAATTAACAGAGGTCTCTGGTGTTCCCAGTGCTGCTGGCAGCTGGGCTCTGCATAGCAGTGCCTGTCCCAAGGATCCTCATGAGAAGGATGGAGAAGGAATAAAGCCCTGAGTGCTCCCAGCATGCAGCATGCCCTTCTGTAGGGCTCAGCCAGATGCATCTGAGCATCAGCAGGCCAGCACTCCCAGCTCCAGCTCAGCCACCCCAGCCATGGGAGGTCACAGCACAGGTGGACAGGAATGGGGTAGGTGTGGGTGGGCAGAATGCCCCATACCTACAAGTGACATTAGCTCCTCATTCACAGCTAAGACAGCGCCTCCATGCTGTGCTGAGCAAAGGGTCTGGCCTGCAAAGGGTGTGGTGCTACAAAATTCCAGAGGTGGATCCCATCTGACAGGTTGTATGCTCTTCTCCAGGCCACACTCCATCCTGGTGTCCCCAAACCTCCAGAACAGAAGACAGTGCCCTTCATGCCCGGGCCAGCTGTGCATATGGGAAGGCTATGCAAAGCCAGCTGTGACACAGGTCAGCATGGCCAAGCTGCATGGCCTGTTGACACACTGCCTTGTGTCACCTAGAGCGAGGGAAGCACATGGAGAAAGAAGAGAAGTCAGCGCTGTGCCAAGGGGTGAATACATGCTTGCCAGCGTGCACATCCAGCAGCCCAGTGCTGAAGCCACTCCTGCCCTTTGCTCAGCTGGGCTCGTGCCTGGTTAGACTGGAAGCGAAAAGAAAGAGTAAATAATGGGGGGTCTTGAAGCTCCTTTTTCAGCTTTATTTAGCTTTGACTGCACAGAGCCATAGCACAGCATACTCTAGCCTTCAGGGAGGGGGCACAGGAACCCCCTGAACACACCGTGGTTTGGGGTCAGCCCCCATCTCGGGTGCCTTGTGCTCTGCCCCCAAAATGCTGCTGGGGAATCTGGCACAAAGGCCCTGAAGAGGAGAGGAAGCCCCTGCCCCACGGTGTCCTCGGGGGCTCATAGGTCGCTGCTGCAGTCGCGACACAGGATCTCATCGTTGTCAGGGATGAAGCCTTTCCCCACCAGCGAGGTGCTGCAGCGGGCACAGTTGAAGCAGTTGTGGTGCCAGTGACGATCCTCAAAGGAGACGTATTTGCCACCTCCAAAGCCTGTGGGAAAGACAGAGGACAGTGTCAGACTCTCTGGGGAAATTGGGATGAGCTTCCTGAACAGACTGAGCCCTGGCCTGCTCATCTCCAGGTCAGGTCTTCACACATGGCACTGGTGGTGGCACCCAAAACACACCCCGGGATCAAATAGATCTGAAATGCGAATCTCCACTCTGCTGGGGGAAAAGCACTAAAATTGCTTCAGAGCAGACTTTGCAGGGTTGACAGATTTGGACCAGAATCACGATTTTCTCCCCTAGGAAGAGCAGGAAGAGCTGCACCATTACAGTGGATGAAGGCAGACAGAACTACTCAAATCCTGGGAAAAGACGTCCTGCCACCAGCTCAGGCCCAGGCTCCTGCAGAGGCTCCACAGGAGCTTCCTTTCTCTGCTGGCAGTTGTTGGACTAGTGAGCTGTGACCCTCTTCTCCCCAGGACTGCAACAAACTCATAAAGACCAAAGGGGAAGTGGGTGCCTGGGAGCTGTCCTCAGCCAGAATCATCCTCTGAATCACCAGCTGATTCACAGCTTCTCCTGCCTTCCCAGCAGCAAGAACCTGCGAGTTGCAAGGGGGAAGGTCAAGTAGGGGACGGCAGGAAGGAAGCCAGACTCTCTTAGGGGGTTCTGCAGAAGAGGATCCCTTACTTCCCCTGCCTTAGGCAGGTACAGCAGCTCCAGACTCCCCTGCACCAGCTGCTGCTCTAGGCTTTCCCTGTCTGTGAACGACCTTTTCACAGGACATGGTAATCAGTATCAAAAAAAGCAAGCCAGAGACATGAGATCATGCTTTGAGGGGTCACTTTGGAGTCTTTACCTGTGGGTAGAGGGAATTCCTCCCACAGAACACAGTTCACCACTTTGAAAGACACAGACAAAGGGACAGAAGTAGCCACAGGCCCACTGTACCACGAGGTTCCTCAGAGAGCTGTTCTGCTCACCTGTGATGGGCTTTGTGCAGGCACTGCACTTCTTCGCATAGAGGTTCCCAAAGCACTTGATGCAGTATGGGTTGTCATCCTGGGAGGTGAACTGCTGCCCAGCCAAGGGGGTCTTGCAGCCTGTGCAGACAAAGCACTCCTTGTGCCAGGGCTCATCCCGGTAGGTCACTCCTCCCTTGGTGAGGGTCTGCAGGAAGAGAGCACATGCTGGTGATACACAGGCAAAGGGAAAGAGCCCAGCTGGGGTGCTGGCACCTGAACCCTCCTCTGACAGGGCTCAGGCAGCAGCAGGGAGCTCCCTGCCCCTGCATCAGAGCTGGGGGCTCTGGGCTCTCAGGCCACACGTACCTTTTTGCATCTAGTGCAGCGAGGAGCGAACTTGCTCTCGTAACAGGGGACACAGTAATAATCCTTCTTGTCTGGGATGAAGGACCGTGACCCAATGGGCTGCTGGCAGCTGCTGCATATGAAGCAATGCTCATGCCAGGTCTGTCCATTGTACTCCAGCTTACGGGAGCCTGCAAAGAGAGCCCTGCGCTGACACAAGGGAGTGGCACACGTGCACACAGGGATGTGGGGGGCTGGACAGGGTGAACTGTGGTCCTGCACACTTGGCTCTATGCTTCCCCTCCCCATGGCAGCTCACCACCACGGGCAGCTGGAGAGGAGGCCTCAGGCCCACAGCACAGCCACAAGGGGAGGGCTGCAGGAACATGTCCCCAGCACTGGAACAAAGGCCATGGTAGAGATGTCTGATGTAACCTACATCTAAAGATGGTGCCAAAATAGCCAAGTAAAGACACACGCCTTTGCCTCAGGCCTTCTCCAGAGACACTCATACATTTTCAGTCATTCTGTCTCTTCTTGTCAGCACACAGCAGAAAGTGCCCAGGAAACCCTTTGTTATCTCCTCCCTCATTCATTTCCCCACGAAAAAGTGGAACAGATAGATAGGGCTGCTGTGGTGATCACAGCTTGGGATCATGCTGTCTTGCTGGACAAGCAAAGGACCCAGCCCTCTCCATACAGTGACTGGAAGGCAGGAAAACAGAGATCCAACTCCCTTCCACGCTGCTCTCATGCTGGACCTGCAGCTCCAATTGACACTAAAAGAGCAGGAACAAACTGCAATGCTCAAGTCTGCCTGCTCCTACCTGGCATGACGGTCTTCTCACAGGCGATACATTTGGAGGAGAACTCGCTGCAGTAGCAGTCGTTGCACAGCAGCTCCTTGCCCTGGCAGGTGAACGGCTCATCAGCCAGAGAGCGGTCGCAGCGGAAGCAACGGAAGCAGTGCTCGTGGTAATGGCGGTCCTCGTAGTACAGCTCCTGGGAGTACAGCCAGCATGAGGGGGGGACCAAACAGGTCAGGAACTGACCTGCTTGTCTGCAGGGCTTCTACTCACCCTGCAGTCGTGGCCGATCAGCTCCTTGCACTCGTCGCAGGTGTTGGCGAAGTGCGCATCATAGCAGGGGATGCAGTATGGGCCATTGTCCATCTGGATGTACTTGCGCCCATACAAGGACTCCTTGCAGTTGTCACAGTCGAAGCACTCTGTCATGGTGCTGGTCTGGGGCCCTCCTTCACCTGCTGAGATCAGGGCAGCTGTAGGTCAATAGCAGCTTAGGTTGTCTGAGATGTCCCTGCACAACCCTGCCACCTCCAGAGTCCCTGTACTGAGCCAACAGCTGCTGTAGCACAGGGGACAGACCCACACTGTGCTCCTGCTCTGGGGCTGCATGCACTGCCCTAAGAGCCTGCAGACATCAGGGCCTGCAATGAACTCTGCTTCAGGCTTATACTCCAGCCCACAGCTGGAGCACTTTGGCACCACTCAGAAAACCTGGACATGTCAGCATGCAGCTATGCTCCTCACTCTTTGCTACCTTCCTGGGAAGTCAAGTATAAAATGAAAAGGGAGAGATTTCCTGCATGAAAAGTTTTCGTTTGGCACCAAAACCATGCACATGCCACGTGGCTGTGTGTCTGCTGTGATATCTGAGAGCCTAAGGCACCCTAAGGGAGATCAGTCTGCCCAGCTGCCCTTCAGAGACCCACGCTCAGCCCTGCATGGTCTGTAGCAGGATTCCTCACAATGCCTGAAAGCTCTGCCTGAGGGGCTGCTAGCAGCTCAAACCCTGGAACTTCTCCAGAGATTTAAAGCAGGTTTAAAGCTGCTCCATAGGGAAGCAGGAATCAGGCATTCTGCACTGTGCCTTGGCTGTGGAGCCTCGTCCCAGCAAACTGTTCTGCATGTGTTGCTCCATCTACAAACATTCTCCAGGGAGAAGCTATAGGGGCAGATGGGTGTTCCACAGCACCTGTTGGGGCTTGGCATGAAGGAGACCTGACATCTCTCCTTGCTGCTTATCTCCCACACAGCAGGTTTGTGGAACTATTTTGCTTTCTTTGGAGCATTAACTCCAGAACAAGACTGTCTTCCTCCTGTTTAGTTTAGTCTGGTTATTCCTAAACATGGAGTTTTCCAGTTGCAAAATCACACCCTTCTTTAACCCAGGCTGCTGTCAAGTGTAGACAAGCCCACTGAGTTACACGGGAACTGTCAGCTGCAGAGCACCTCCACTGCAGCGTTCTTCACTAACCCACCCACTTCACAAAGAGCAATCACAGCTCAATCTGCACTTAAGCATTTAATGGTCAGGGAGCTCCCTACCAGCCCCTGCACCCCCTCCCCACGGCCGGCTGTAGGTTGAAGGAGGCAGCCTCCAGGGCAGGAGCTGATCCAGACAGCTCTGACTCACAGCCCAGAGTTCCCCAGGGCTATTCTTGGCTAAGCCACACAGCTCCCAGCTGTTGTCAAGCTTGGTATGTGCCGATAGGACTGATGGAGAATAAATCCAGTGCTCCCACATGGCTACGTGACCAACCGAGGGGAAACAAAGTCCCTTTTCAGACACTCGTTACCAGCTGCCACCCAGGCCACTGCCTGCTCCGTGCCCTCCAGCATGGCAGTCCTGTGTGGCTGTGGCCACGGGAGCTGCTCCATGGCATGTCCCTGCCAGCACCATGGGCTGGGGCCAGTGTCCAGCAAGCCTCCCCCAAAGCTCCAGCCAGCAGCTCTGTGCACTGCCTGCAGAACAAGGCAATGTCCAGTCTGTTACTGGACATGAGGCAGGCACATGGTGGTTTGCTGCAAGGTGCTGGACTGGACCTGCTGCTCAAGCTCTGCTCCAGCCTGTGCTGCCCCCACAGTGTCCCTCCCCTCTGGGACAGCCCTGAGATGCTCCTGTGACTGGGCAGCAGCTCCCCTGACCCCCACACAGCCCCTGGCTGTTTCTCACCCATGGCTGCCTTCTCTGCCACCCCACTTGCCTTTGCTCTCTGAAGCTACCTGGGACGTTTCTCTCTGGCAAATCAAATGAAATTTCCAACTCTCCTCCTTCCCCCTCCCAGCCCTGGTGAAGGGAACTTTCCAAGGTGTGTCTGTAGTAAGAGGACCTCTAATGAGCACTTCTGGCCTGGGAGCTAAGGCACCACCAGAGCAGGGAACTTCCATGTTTCTCAATGGGCTGCACTTCAGCTCTGTGGTCCACTAATAGAGGCTCAGAGGACATCAGAAAACACAAAAAAAGAAAAAACAACCTGAATGAAGATTTACCAGTGATGAGGAATAAGCCTGCTGAGCACTGCTACCCTGACGCTGTCAGAAGAGGAAGTGAAAAACAAACCCTCTAAGGAATGATATACCAAGGAGGACCCTAAAGTGGGCCAGGCTTGCCTCCCCTTGGAGTAGCTTCTCCCCAAAGTCTGTGTATGCCTGCTGCACACTGTGAGCTGAGTGCTGCTCCCCGGGCTGTGGGTGCAGCAGAGCCATGCAAGGAGCCTCATGTGGCCAAGGCTGCAGTCAGCACACACGGGAACAGACTTTGTGCTGCCTTTTCAACAGAACAAGAACAGGCCCAGGAAGTTTGCTCAGGGTTATTTGTGTTAGATAAGCTGTTTGCTCCCTTTGTTCTGCTCTCACATGCAGAGCTGGGCAGGGGCATCGAAGTCTGGGCAGCACCAAAGCAAACGCAGCATCTTCGTCCCTGAGATGTTGTGCTGTGAGACCAAACACACTGGGAAGAGGAAGGTGGGACAAAAGAAATGGAGTAAAAGAAATAGTAGAAAACCCCAGAATTCTTATTCTTCTGTGATTATAATGATGAACCTGGGGATTGCCTTCCTTATGAAAGAAAGAGGTAGTTTTAAAATGCATTAAAAACCCCTTTAATCGAGGCTCAGACATAGAAGGTACACTATAGGCAATCACTCTTGTGCCAGGGAGCATGTGCTCATCCTTTGCACCACCCTGTAAACATTAGCTGTGTGTTGGGTGTGCTGGGCTGATGTCAGGAACGCCTTCAAATGCTAACCAAGGTGTTGCCCTATAATGATGGGATTGCAGTTGCAAATAGAGTGTTTGCCCATTGCCAGATGGCTCCGGTCCGGGGGACGAGGCTTGCTGAAGCAGGTCCCTTGTACAGGGTGATGGTGGAACTGCATGTGGGATATTGCTCAGCTGTTTCACTAGCTGTTGGAGGGCAAAAATAAACACAGATATATGCCTGCCAGCTGCCTGCCTCCTCTTTCACTCTGAAAGATGTAGTTGTGTTCATGGAGCAAAGGAAGTTCAGCTCCTCTCCTGTGCCCATGAACAAACAGCTTTAGGAACAAGAGCTCCACTCACAAACAACATCCAAAATGCTCCACGATGCAAATCTGATCAGTCTGGAGCAGAGCTCAGAATAGCCTCATGTATGGGAAAGGTCAGCAATTTGTCAAGGAAGCACAGCAAAGTCCACTTTCTAATTAGAGAGTAACATGCACCCAACACCACCCTGGTGTCATTGTCCAAAGCCGATGGCTTAGCAACAGCCCCAGGGGATCATTACATTAATTTTAGCACTAATAAACCGGGGATTTGTTATGCAAAGGAGGCAGTACAGACAGCGTAGGGCCTGATCCACACAATCACTGAAGAGTTTAACTGGCCTTTTGAGACGGTTCCTCCTACAATGAACTCCTTAGATGCGGAGTCTTGTGTGTGTGGTGAACCTGTAACCCCATGTAACTTCACACCAGTTTGTTGTTTGTTGTCAGCTCACAACCAGCTGCTCCACAGAGTCACCCTAGAGTAATCCATGGGGCTATTCCTAGGGAAACACTTCATCTTTCCAGGACATAGGAAAAGACCTGCTTTTGACTGCCTGTCAGGTCCCTGCCTATTCTCACCTCCCCAGGGCTGAGCATAAATATAAGCAGTTGCAGTTCACACCTAAACAGACACACAGAAGAGAAAGCACGACCTTACTGGGGCAGGCAAGTATTCCCCATGTAAGGATGAAACCGTCCAGGGACATGGCTTTGAAAGACAGTCCTCAAAGCACTCCAAGGTCAGCAGAGGAGAAGAACACTTTTTGTTCCTGCTAGCTTTCCAGAACCATTATGGGTCCTGGAATCTGCATGAAATTGTTTCTGCCTGCTGCCGACCCTAAAAGGCAAACCAGCTGCTTGCTCTGAGGAGCAGCTCCAGCCCCTCCGTTATGCTGGGACTGCTTTCATTCCAGTGGAGTTTCCTGACACCACTTCTGGGGATCTGCACAGGGTCACTGTGCACCCTGGCCCCAGGCTAGGTTTTCCAGGGGTAGGGGCAGCTCCCTGGGGTGCTGTGGGGCTTTCTGCACACTGCTCATGCTGCTGCCCACCTGTACCCTGTCACTCTGCTCCAGAGCCCACCTGCACTGCAGACCTGGTGCATCCCTGGGGCTGTTAGAGGAGAGCTCGAGGCAGCTGGGGAGAGGTCCCAGTGCTCCCTCAGGGTGAGCCAGCCTGCATGGGGCACCCTTGGGAGCAGAGTTGCATCAAACCTTCACCCGCCTGCTTGCAGCACCAGTGAGTCACTTCCTGCCCTCAGCTCTCTCCTCCAAGCTGCCTTCCAGCCTCAGCCCTCCCTGGGACAGCTCTGGAATCTTAAGTAGGAAGGAGGGCTCCAGCATGGCAAAGAGTAGAGTCTTTCAGTCACCACAGGCCTCACACGACAGCTTCCCCTTCTCCAGCACAGCCAGAGGATGCTGCTGCAGGTCATTTCTCCAACACACGGGGAAAATTTGGTTCTTACAGGCAGCCTCAGAGATCAGCAGATCGGCTGGGTGGATGGCCACAGGCTCCCTCAGCAGCGGGGTGTTGTGCTCATGCATGTGCGTGCACCCAGCTCTGCTGAGCCAGCTGTACCTCAGCCTTTCCCCCGAGCATGGGCAGGACACCCTCCTGCCCACAGCCCTCACGGCTTCCTCCAGGCTCTGCAACACATTGAGTAAAACGGCTGGCAGCACTGTAAAGAAACACCTTGCATTTCAAATAAAAGAACTTGCTGTCAGCAAGGTAAGCAGCTTCCTGAAAATGTCCGCAACTTTGTGAGGAAGAAGCAGCAGAATCCGTTAAAACTGAAGTTGCAGAATCTGACAAGCCACAAGACCTAAACTGAAGCATGATTTTAATACAGGCTTAGAACGACAAAATAAAGGTTTCCCATTGTTCAGAGGGGATCTCTGAGGTGCCCCTTCCAAAGAACAAAGCTGTATCACAGA